CAGTACCATTATTAAAACACAGGGTTTTTTTCATCTTACCAGTCAGTTGTCCAGGTATTTAAACACAAAACAAATCCTTTATTTACCACCACACCATGCCATCACTGTCACGGAGAACAGAAATTGGATGCAAGCCAACAGTACCTGTGGAAACTGGCATTCTCTTAGTAAATTGTACAAGCTGCACTCATAATAGAAAGAAAATGCCAACATGTAGGCGTTACCTGACTACCCTCTTCATCTAAGCAGCAGTCATCTAATGATGCTACTTTCCTTTCAACCATGCAAGCACTTATGTCTGGTTTATATTTATCCACTTCTGGATCTTCGTTACTACCTTCTTCATGGAAAGTAGATTTCAGTTGACATGTCTTGGAATAAGATAAGCCGGCACATTTGTCTGTACTGCCTACAGTTTTCGGCAACGTGTTCAACTCTGACTCCTGTAACAATTATTATTGGATTAGACAATGCTAAAAATTGACAATTTCTTTTCAATACCCTACTGTACTTCATGACACAAATAACAAGTTACAGGAGTGGGTTAGCTTACCATTTGAGATGGGAATGGAGCTCTTGCACTAGGGTTTACTGGTTTGGTGGTTGCATTTGGTACGGGTTTTAAAACTGGATCCCTAAAGCTGACCAAACTTTTCTCCACAGGCTTCAACGTACTCTTCTGAATTTCAACCATAGCAGTTAAAAAAGGTTCTCGGCTGATTATCCCAAAGTAAAAGTGCCTACTCATGCCCACATCCATCTGTAAACTGTTCTCTTAGCAAAATGTCATAACCTGTCTGCACCTGCAAAATCTATCCATCTAGTCAAACACCTTTCAAATTGCCGCAAATTAATGCCCACTTTCTCCAGCTTCAGGTCTTGCAAGATGTAGACGTCGAAACCCATCATGTCAACTGGAAAGGCTTCAATAGAGGAGTTTAAGTAATCTGTAATTGCTTCGGCTCTAGATAACCTAAAATAAACTTAAAGAGGTTTTCCTGTTAATAAAGAACGTAAATTTACTGCCAAATCATGTGGCATACCTTTCATATCGTTTTAATTAAGAATCCAGATCATTCTTACCTTCATTAAATGCTGGTAATTTAGGTCTACTTGCCTTGGATGATCCAGTTTAGGGACAGGTAATATTCTACCCGACTTTGTTCTTTTCATCAGTGTTGTTGTATAGTATTATTTCCTGGGCGAATAGTCCCCAAAAATGTCACACAGCCTCTCAGAAGCTATCTGACAAAGGTCCGAACATACTTAAGAGAAAAAGTTCACAACACAATTAATTACCAAAAATGTTTACTGATATATTCCTGAGAAAGTGCACCCACCAGCCTAGTGGTGAGGAATCAAGTGGGGCCAATGAAGTTAACACTATAATGGATGTCCATTTTTTTGCGACCAATGTTTTCTTTTTTTCTTTCTTTTTTTTTCTTTTTGCTTTCCAAAAGGAAGGGGACAGTAAATCCTCCCCCTGAATTCCATCATCATTAACATATGTTTTCAATCATCTCATTAAACAAAGCCATAGCAGTTAACAAATAATAATAATTAAGCATCAATGCTACACTAGAACTTTATCAGTCGGCCCTTCCAAAACTTTCACGAAGTATTATGTAACCAAAATACAATAATAATTTATCCACGATTTCAACATTTACATTATGGCCTTTTAGCTCTATCTATCTTTTATCTATCTATATGAAGAAGATGGGGTTTCCTGAACACATTATCGAGCTTGCCCGGCATTTATATAACGATCAAGAGTCTGCTGTAAGAGCAGCAGATAGACTAACAGACTGGTTCAAGATCGGAAGAGGAATAAGACAAGGTTGTGTCATGTCCCCAGTTCTGTACAACATCTATGCTCAGGCCATGCGCGAAGCATTGCAAGGATATAGTGGAGGGATTTCTATCGGAGGCATCGAGGTATATCAGATTTGAGGTGAGAGGAGCTGATGGATCTTCTCAAACTTGTAAAGACGGCCAGTAATCCACGATCTGAATCTATATCTATTCTATATTCGAGCTCAAAATGGTTTTAAAATTCCTATCAGTTTTATATATATATATATATATATATACATCTATTTCTATATATATAAATATATATACACATAATTTTATATATGTGTATATATATAGTAGTGTTCTAGTAGTAGTGTTCTACAGTCTACATGCCTACAATTTTTTGTTTCAACGACTCACATCTATCTGTAAACTGTTCTCGTAGCCTGTCTCTTATACAC